AAGCTATATTCATAGAATGAAAGGGAACAGTTGGACATTAAAACAATATGAAAAATTAAAATTTTAATAATCACTGTAACATAAGAATTGAGATATTCTCGAGGCCTCCCTGGTGGCATAAGGGGTTAGTCTCAGCACTATGAAGCAATCCTCAGTCCTGTCTCGCCCACTGCTCCCCTCAGCAGTGCATTTCAGTAGATCCACCTGTTCTGCTCCCCACTGTCTCTGGTGAAATCTCCCTTTCTTCTCTCTCTCTCTCTCTCTCTCTCTCTCTCACACACACACACACACACACACACCCAGGCCTCTGGCCTGCACCCCAGTTCTTACATGCATAAATAACTAAATCTTTAAAAAAAAATTGAGACATTCTCTTAGAAAACACAGCAAAGAGGGCCTCCCCGGTGGCGCAGCAGTTGAGCGCTGGGTTGCGAAGCTGCCCGCAGCCTCTGCAGTGCCGGTTCGATCCCTGGCCGCCAGGCGAGGGTCCCAAATGGCGCGCAGACCTCGCCTGCCGCCCGCTGCTCCCCTCAGCAGTGTACTTCGTCACTCTGCCTGTTCTGCTCTCCGCTCCAGCTCTGGTGAATTCTCTCACCCTCCCGCACTTCTGACTGTACCCAGTGCTTGTATAAATAAAAACAAATAAATCTTGAAAAGAAAACACAGCAAAGAAAAGGAAAGATAAGGGAGACAGAGAATCAGTCTAAGAGATGCAGCATAATAACAGGAGTTTCATAAAATGAAGGAATCAGAGGGGAGAAAACCACTGTAATAGAGCAAAATTCCTACAACTGAAAGTTTCCAGATTCAATGAACAAAAATAAGGACCATAACAAGGCATGCGAAATTATAGCAATAAAAAGAAAGAAAAGATTCTAAAGATTTTCTGGGGGGTGGGGTACAGAGGGAGAGAGAGAGAGCAAGACAGCACAGGAGCACAAAGACTTGGCAATTGGAATAGTTAGCAGGTTTCTCAATAATGTATGGGTACTAAAGAAAAAAATAGAGGAATATGTCCCAAAATTCTGAGGGGAAATGATTTCCACACTAGATTTTTATATCCAAAACTACCAACACATTAGAAAATTGGTATAAAGATATCTGTAGGCACGTAACTTCTCAGAAATATATCTCCCACTCACCCTTTCTAAGGAAGTTTTGTGTGTTTTTTTTTTAAAGATTTATTTATTTATGCATACAAGAGCTGGGATACAGACAAGAGATGCAGGGGGTAGAGTATTTACCAGAGACAGAGTGGGGAACAGAACAGGCAGATCTACTGAAATACACTGCTGAGGGGAGCAGCGGGCAAGACAGGAGAGGTCTGCTGCGCCATGTGGGTTGCTCCCTGGCTGGCCGGGATCCAACTCGTGCAGCAGTAGCTGCGGATTGCTTCATAGTGCGGTGCTTAGTCCCTTGAGCCATCAGGGAGGCCTGTTTTGGTATTTTTTTCACCAACAGAATGAGATAAATCAAGAAAGTGGAAGACTTGAAATTGAAAAACAGAAAGCCCAACACAGGAGAGGGATATTCCCAGGATACAGGTGAAGAAATATCTCAAGATTAAAGCTATATAGCAAGCCTAAAGCCCAACCAAACTATTGGAGCAGGCCAAAGGCTGTATGACGAACTTCAAAATAAAGCAAGTGCTCATAGGAGCGAGCAAAGGAAGGATATTTTTCAGCACCTTTGGAGAGTTTGTGAATGAATACTAGTTGTTAGATTAAAAACTAACAAAAATAGGGGCCTCCCTGGTGGCAGAAGGGGTTAAGACACAGCTCTATGAAGCTATTCAAAGCCACTGCAGCAGGAGTTTGATCCCCAGCCAGGGACACGCCCCACATGGCTCAACAGACCTCTCCTGTCTTGCCCGCTGCTCCCCTCAGCAGTGTATTTCAGGGAATCTGCCTGTTCTTCTCCCCACTCTGCCTCTGGTGAATCCTCTCACCCCCACACCTCTGGCCTGCATCCCAGCTTTTGTATGCATAAATAAATCTTTTTTTAAAAATAGAAAATAAAAACTAACAAAAGTATTTTGTAGAACTATCTACCTGTTAGTGCTAGAGAAACCAGAACATTATATATTGAAGTGACTGAAATCTAGTGCACTCTGTGGCTCCACAAAGTTTTAATTAAACAAAGAGAGGATAGGAAAGAAAGAACGGTGTGTGTTTGGGAAAGAGAATATGGTAAGAACAAAATCCTCTTTTCCATAGTTGGAAGCAGAAAAAAGTCAAGAAATTAATGTGTTTTCTAGAAATGCAGGGGAAAACAAATACCAGGAAAAAATAAAGAATATTCAACAAACATTTATTGTGCATTCACTATGTGTCAGACACTGTTCTAGGCCATGGTTACTCAACCTTGGTATGTTTTGGATAGGGTGATTATTTGTTGTAAATAAGGGTAGAGAAGGGGACTGTCTATCCTTACATTGTAAGATACTTAGCAGCAGCCCTAGTTTCTCCTTTAATTGCCAGTAACACCCCCTCCAGTCATGAAAAATATCTCCAAATATTGCCAAATGTCATCTGGAGAGCAAAATTTCCCTAGTTCTAGGTATTAGGGATATAGCAACAAGCAATGGAAATAAAAAGAACTGAAAATAATTACTACTGGAAAAAAAGATCAGAAGTGAGTAGGCCAGTAAAATGTTGCTTTTACTCACAAATCTTTTTTTTTTTTAAAGATTTATTTTATTTTATTTACTTATTTATACAAGCACTGGGTACAGTCAGAAGCGCAGGAGGGTGAGAGAATTCACCAGAGCCAGAGCGGGGAGCAGAGCAGGCAGAAGGACCGAAGCACACTGCTGAGGGGAGCAGCGGGCGGCAGGAGAGGTCTGCGCGCCATGCGGGACCCTCCTCCAGTGGCCGGGGAGCAGCCAGGGATCGAACCGGCGCTGCAGAGGCCGCGGGCAGCTTCGCAACCCAGCGCTCAACTGCTGCGCCACCAGGGAAGCCCTACTCACAAATCTTGTAGAATTGACTTGTCCAATGATGTGTGCATATTACATTAACAAAAAGAAAACAATCTGAGAAGAATGTACAGTCTTTTTATATCCTTAACTAAGTATTTCAACATGACGCAGTATAGTCATGCAGTTCTAGACTTGAGTTGCAGCTCCACCACTTACTAGCTATTACAGGAAAAGGAGGATCAGAAGGGTTAGGTTATTTGCCTGAGGTTATAGGCAAGTACTTAACCCTTCTGAACCTCATTTTCTTCAACACTATAAGATAGGAATACTCACAAGATTATTATGTTATTAACTATTTTATGGAAATATGTGTAGAACATGTCATGTGGTACCTGCACTTAAAGCACTCAATAGGGCCTTCCTGGTGGGCGCAAGGAGTTAAGTCTCAGCACTATGAAACTATGGCAGCCACTGCAGCAGGAGTTCAATGCCAGGGCCAGGGAGCTAACCCATATGGAGCAGCAGACCTCTCCTATCTGGCCCACTGCTCCCCTCAGCACCATACTCCGCCTGTTCTGCTCACCACTGCCTCTGTTGAATCCTCTCACCCTCATTCCAACACCCCCCTCCACATACCTCTAGCCTACACCCCAGCTCTTGTATGCATAAATAAATCTTTTAAAAAAAAAAAAGCACTCAATAAATAACATCCTGTAACATATACCCACTTACAACTTTTATATGCCAGATTCTAGGAATAACCAACAGTATGTATCTTGGGTAATTAAGCCTGGGGCTCCCATAATTTGTCATACATCAGTCATGAGACCATTTGAGTAGCATACCAGGACCCAAGTCATTTATAGCATGTGAATTTATAATATAAACATAACATATAGTTATCTTAATGGCATAACTTATGCTTATATGGCAATCTAGATTTTCCATATTTATTGTCAGTTAATCCTCACAATCTGGGCTACTAGATTGAAGCAGATACTATTATCCCTGATTAATAACTATATTTATTTATTCAATTTATTTATTCAAATATCAATTGAACAAGTACTGTGTGTCATGCATTGTTGGGAATATAAGTGAATGAAATAAGAATCCTGACTTCATAGAGCTTATATTCTAGACAAACAGTAAGTAAAATTTATATAGTTAGATAAGAGATATTTTAGAGAAAAATTGTCTTGAACAAGGCCTTTTTTAAAAAAGATTTATTTTATTTATACAATAGGTACCAGCCAGAGGCGCGGGAGGGTGAGAGGATTCACCAGAGACAGAGTGGGGAGCAGAACAGGCAGACGGACCAAAAGCACTGCTGAGGGGAGCAGTGGTTGAGACAGGAGAGGTTTGCCGTGCCATGTGGGTATCTCCCCGGCCAGCCGGGAATCGAACAGCACTACAGAGGCTGCGGACAGCTACACAGCGCTGTGCTCAACCTGCTGTGCCACCGGGGAGGCCCTTGAATAGGATTTCTGAGATGGAAAAAGGGATAACAATTTCAAGTTGTAAGAAGTAATAAAGTGAAGTGGAGATGAAGAAAAGGGCTCAAGAAGTTAGTAACGGGCCTCCCCTGGTGGCGCAGCAGTTGAGCACTGGGCTGTGAGGCTACCCGCAGCCTCTGCAGCGCCAGTTCAATCCCCAGCCATGGGTGAGGGTCCCACAAGGTGAGCAGACCTCTCCTGCCGCGTCCGCTGCTCCCCTCAGCAGTGTATTTCGTCGGTCTGCCTGTTCTGTTCCCCACTCTGGCTCTGGTGAATCCTCTCACCCTCCCGCACTTCTGACTGTACCCAGTGCTTGTATAAATAAATAAACAAATCTTTAAAAAAAAAAAAAAGTAGTAACTTGTTCAACAAGTTACAATAAAAGTACAGCTAACCACAATAAGAAAGGTAACTGGAGTCTTGGTATATCATTTCATAAAAGCTGATCAGAAATATTAAGACTTTTTGGAATTGGTTAAAACCATGCTAAAATGTGTTTTTAAATAGCTCTAATAAGCATTGAGTGTGCCCATTAATCCAGAAGTAAAAAGAAAACATTAAATTTGTGTTTATTTTTATTTCAGGCTAAAGAGTCCCCACAAACAAGAAAGATTTTTAGGAAGATATGGTGTAAACACTTCAAAAAGATTATAATCATCATTATGACAATTCTTCTTTCAATCATCATCATTCTCTTAAGTACAAATGTAATACCAACCTGACTCCTCTTCTCCTCACCCCCAAAAGGTAGCAGTAAATTGTTAAATGTAATTTTAAAGTTTTACAACCAACAATTACAAAAGCATTCTCTAGTGGTAGGAAAATGGGAAGAAGTGGAGGTAGGACGCATTGCCTTGTCCCTTGACTCTTGACTTGGTGTGTCTTCCATTTCTGAAATCCCACTGCTACACTATTTCCCCCGGCTCTTTGTTATGGATTAAGAATACAGACCCTGGAATCAGACTGACAAGGTTTTAACTCTTCCTACCACATACCACCTAGCCAGCTTTGGAAAAATCACTTAATCTATACCAGTTTCTGTATTGTAAAATGGGGCTGATAATACCACAGAGTTGTTATGTCTGCCATAGTAAATGCTATTCAAGTTTTAACTATTAAAAGATGATAGCATGAATGGCACTGATTAAATCTCTGTCATTTTAGTCCTCAGTTAGTAATTACCTTCACTTTCAAATTCCCTTAGAAATGTGACACTCTAACATGAGAACAAGTCCAGAGAAATACCTCTTCTTTCATTTGAAATGAAAAGTCAAACTAATGTGTAATTCCTTGGGTAAAGCAATTAAGAGTCTTCTTAACTCTTAACTTTACCATTTCTTTAACAAATCATAGTTCCCAGCCTCCTAACCTGTTACCTCCTAACAGCCATTTTTTTCCCACATGATACACTTATCTCATATCACGAAGCTTTCTAACAACAAAAGCATCCAACTTCACTTTGCAGTTGGTAACAAGATTTTGTGAGTTCTATTTGCTAAGTCAGAACTTTAAGTCTAAAGTTGGTTTTATTTTATTTTTTTTGTGGGACCCTCGCTGGAGACCGGGGAACGAACCGGCACTGCAGAGGCTGCAGGCAGCCTCGCAGCCCAGCGCTCAACTGCTGCGCCACCAGGGGAGGCCCTAAAGTTGGTTTTAAAAATCATTTAGTGATCCATGGAGAAGACTGTAAGTGATCCCTGACTACTTGATTACTCATTTTGATTCTGATGACGAAATGTCAGCATTTTGAAATTGGAGTCAAACTTGTTATTCCTCCAGCACAATATCACCTGTCCATTCACAAGGTATTCTTTAGGATTTTAATGTTAGAAACTTTGAAATTTCTTCAAGTTTTATTGGGGGGGGGAGAGGGACAGGGGAATGGTGATGTGATTGAATACTTACTCTGAAATGTAGTGAGGGGTATCTCATTTATCTTACAATGACATGATGAGGTAAAGACTTGTAAGTAAGTATAATGTAAAGCACAGAGAACAGTGACATAGAAAGTGCCATGTAAATGCTAGTTTATATTCTTTATTTTGTAAATGAGAAAATACCAAAGTCAAATGACATATTCAAGATCACACAGGTAGAAAACTGAACTTTTACTGATTCAACTACTGACTGTAACACATAGCCATGAAATCCATGTTTAACACTGAGATATTATCTGACCCCTTAAATTAACTGTGGACCAAGTAAGACACATCAGTGCCAGATTGGTAGATTGTTTCTGGGGGTAGGTACAGGAATTTGAATAGGAATATTGTGAGAAGAAATGTCATGTATGTTCCTGCCATTACTCTTGAAGCCCTAGAAAATTTGCCTCCTAAAATTTCTGTAACTCTGTAAAAAAAATCTATTTGATTACCAGTGGGTACTAGCATATTACTGAAAGACATCAGGGCCTCCCTGGTGGCGCAGCAGTTGAGCACAGCCTCTGCAGTACCAGTTCGATCCCCGGCCGCCAGCGAGGGTCCTACATGGCACGCAGACCTCTCCTGCCACGCCCACTGCTCCCCTCAGCAGTGTATTTCGTCGGTCTGCCTGTTCTGTTCCCCGCTCTGGCTCTGGTGAATTCTCTCACCCTCCCGCACTTCTGACTGTACCCAGTGCTTGTATAAATAAATAAATTTTTAAAAAAATAAAAGACATCAAATTTAAAGATACCCAATCTAGAGGCAGCCTGAGCTCGATCCCTGGTCTGGGAGCTAACCCATATATGGTGCAGCAGACCTCTCCTTTCTCACCAGCTGCTCCCCTCAACAGTGTACTTCTCTTCTCCTGCCCACTCTGACTCTGGTGAATCCTCTTACCCCTGCACCTCTGGCCTACACCCCAGTTTTTTTACACGAAATAATTACCTAATCTAGTCCCCTTCCTCAATGTAAATATAAGAAAGCCAAAACTTAGAAACCTAAAATTGAATAATGTGCTTCTGCAAGCTCCTTTCCATTTGGCACCATGTGTAAAAGCACAGACTACCAACAACATTCAACAAGAAAAATACATACATACATACATACATAAAGTACAGACCACCACCTTGGTTCCAAGCAACAAGTCCCACATGCATGTTTTCCTAGGCAGTCTTAAATAGTTTAAGAGCTTTTGAAGTGATTTATATTTTTTATCAATTGTTGAAAAAGTAAAAAATAGCACCTGTTTAGTAAGAAGTGTTTGCCTATTTGTGCTACATCTGTCAGAACATACTTGAGTGGAAAGAAACTATTAAGACAATCTTAGATTTTTCCTCATTTCTGTGTTCGTTACTGAGCTTTTTCCACTCTGCATCAAAACAATTATGAAACAGTAGGGTTTATGTATTCTAAGTTACCATATTAATAGAAATACAATCAATGTTTAAGAAATGAATGGCTATATATAAAGAAGATATGATCCTTAAACTAAGGGAAGTTTACATTCCAGTTGAGGAGGCAAAATCAATACAAAGCATAAACTTGTTAAAAAGCATCTAGTTAAGTAGTGAAAAGCAGAGAATAAATTCAAAAAGGTAATGATCAACACCAGTTCCAGTCAGTGAGGAAGATTTCATAGATTAAAAGTGGGATCCAAGTGATGTAATCAGTCAAATGTATCTCAAAAGGTATAAGCAATATAGTAAACAGTAAGTTATTGAGCATTTAGCTGGTTAAGTACTTTGGAGATTAATCTTCACAGTAACCTGAGATGTAGGCATCATTATTATTTCCGTTTTACAGATAAGAAAGCTAACACACAAGTTGTCACTTGCCCAAGTCCACTGGGCTTAAAAGAGGAAAGAATCAATAAATGAAGACCCTGCTTGCTTGAACTAGGCCTTGAAGGGGTATAATTATGCAGTCATTCAAATGGCCTTTGAAGCTCTTTATTTCCCACTCTACGGGATGCTTTTTATTTATTCCCATGTTGCCCTCACCAGTAATGATCTCTCTTTGGAATTCCAAACCACCTTACAACCAATCTATTAGATATACCCACTATTTTTCATACAAACATCTTGAATTCTAAATCCCAAAACTCAACTATATATTCTTCCTCCTTTCCTCACAAAACTGTTTATTGGATCTTATTTGCTGCTCCTCTCTCTTTAAAGGGGACCACAGCTACACTATAATCTGTAACTCTTAACCTACCAGATTCTTCTCTTCTGCTCCATCTCATCTTCCCAAATCACTCACTAAACTCATGGGACTTCTGTATCGATCTCCTGAAGTTTCATACCCAGAGAAGCCCAGAATTTACAAAAGCATAAATGAGTCCCCTGCAGGTGTCCAAGTCTTAGAAAAGGACTCTCATCCCTTTGTGAATAGCTATCTATGTGTCTGGTCCATAAAAGCCTGGTCATAGCATACTTTTTGTATTCAGACTAGCCACCTTGACACCTTTTCAGGCGTGATTTCCATAAATCTTAAACAGTCATAAATGTGAAACTCAGCATCAGAATCACCTAGGGAGCTTAATGCTACAGATCCATGGACTGTACCCCCAAAGATTCTGCTTAACGCTGGAAAGGGGCCTCAGAGTGCTTGTGCTTAACCATACAAAGTTGAAAACTACTAACCTCAGAGCCCTTCATATGCATATTATTTAATGTGCCTACCTAAGCAAGACTGGCTAATGTTAGAAAAACTGACTCTTAGAGAAGTTAAACTTTACTTGTCCAACATCACAGAGTTAAGACCGAGCTGAACCATTCATATGAATAATTATCCCATCCAATGTATAAAACCAATATTTAAAATATGCTAAATGGAAAAGTCTCACATTTAAATAAATCTGAAAAGGATCATTGTAAATGTTTTGAAAGTTCATATTGTGTCATTATAGAATCATGGCAGGACCTAAAATAACAAAATCTATTATTTAATTCCAGCCTCTTTTAGAACAAAAGGACAAACCACAAGCTGGTTACAAACACATTATTTGTGGGGAGAGGAGACCTGTTCAACCACACCATGAATTGCCATAATGGCAGTTCTCTCTTGGCAGGCCAGCACTGTTAGTGACCACTCTCCTTAAGAGTTCTTAAGGGGCACAGAGTAAATGGAATAGTGGACTAATATTAGTAGGCATTCTTTGTATTTATATTGAGCACCTTGGCTAGCATTACTGCTATTTTACATATACAGATATTCCAATCTGCTGTTTTCTGAAAAATTTATTCAAGTCTGTAAGTAGTAAATGCCTACCAGCACTTTTAGTGTCTCACATACTTAATAATAGCAAATCCAGCAGGTGCCAAAGATTAAACCACTACATATAGAATCTTCCTATCCTCAGTACTTCCTCATGAACATTCTAAAGCAAACTAGAAATTTCCTTCTTTTCTCCCATCAAATTCAGCTGCCCAATTATCCATAAGCTATCTAATTTTCAAAAGATTCCATCATTTAAAATTGTCATTTAAAACATGATGGTAGGTGCCTTACCTTTTCAATAAAGACAATAAGACCTGTGTTGTTTCAAAGTATTCATCCAAGAAGGGAAAGCTTTAAAAAAAAAAAAAAAAAAAAAAGACAGTGCAAAAAATGTATGAGTGCTGTAAGAGTTTAATTGTAAGACAAAGTCTACATTATAATTTGAACATAAGTAATCTTTCAGAAAATTTAGTGCAAATTAAAACCCCATTGAAGTCCACTATAAACTTATATGAAGACCCTAGAAATAAGTAGGCTTCTAGAACTTGAAATACTTGGCTTCAACAGAATTTGCTTAGGGAGAATATGTATTGAAAAATTAAATGATACAGAGAACATCATGTTATTTTAAAATCAAGTCAACCAGGTACTGAAAAAGACATGCTGATAGATCTTAATACATAAAACTAATTGATTTAGCATGCTTTATATATCAATGACTGTAGAAGCAATTTACAACAAATTTCTGAGCATTTCAAAGTTCTTTATTGTCTTAGCCAATCTCTTAACTACACTGTAATATCAAAGAGCCAACTTCCAATTTTTAGTTTTAGAAAAGATCCACTCACCCATCTGAGATTGGCAGGTGTTTTATAAAAAATATGGTTAAGCCCTGTGTAATCCAAGGCCATTGATACAACCAAAAAAAAAAAAAAAGGCAATTATATGATTCTTTTTCTCAAGTATCAATGTAGAACTCCATGACATATTAAATGTCACATGTAGGTAGTGGCATTAACAGACCTAGTAAGATTATTTCAATATTTTACGAGAAATAAAAGCCAGAAAAGTAACCTTGCTTTTGAATTCTAAAGTGCAAACAGAATATATAGCCTATCCCATTACAAAATAAAATGTATCCCAACTAACCTAACACCAAGTGATTTCTGTAATAGAAATAATAGAAATAGAATTCAGTAACCTCTATTATCACTATTTAATGAAATTAGCACCTCTCTTAATGCTTATCTGTACTTCCTTTGAATTTTAAAGAAATCCTCCAGTGACAACCAAGAAACTGATTTGAATTA